TTAGCCCGTACTTCGTGTACCGTGAACACAACTATTGTGTACTTTGTGTTTTTATTATTTAATCATTACAATAACAGGCAAATAAATGAATCAGAGTGATAACTTAAAACTTTGAGTTATTCATTAACATACTTACAACAATTGCAACAAGTACAACTAAGAGTGCAATAACATCAGAAAGTCTATGAACTGCACCAGTGACAAGCAACATAGTGTCATTCAGGACTCCAACCACAGATACTGTTATACAGTACACTGCAGTCAATGTCAGCATAGTAGTTATACGTGAAATCTTTCCAAACTTTACATCCATTTTCAAATACATTACTGTACTACTTCTTTACTTGATGAATGGTCAAATGTATCCAACATGGAACAGTTTTCTTTGGTTCAAAGTATATAAAAAGTACAAACTTCAATCTCTGTCATCAACTCAACTGCAAACAAGAGAAACCAATTTATTTAAATTGTCATAGAATAATGCACGAGTTTTCACTTGGAGGCACAGGTGATCAGTCTTCAGGGAGACATCAAAGGTGATTGATGTTCAATGAGTTTACTTTGGTGCCTTTGATATTCCTACATGCCAAGGTCATTTTATAAATTTACTCCTTAAACAAGCAGCCTGTCGGCTGAGATAGCTATACACATTGCAATTAAAGAACAGAAGATATCATTAGAAAATGAACAATATGTATAGTATCAAAGCAATCAGACTCACGGTTTTCAACAAGAATTCAAAAATATCACTTTTCACCAAAAATAATCATCAAAATTAGAAAATTGAAGATATCACCACGAAATTAACAAATCTGAAAGAGGTCCACATGTAGTACCTATATATGTAATATAAAAGCAATCAGACTCACAGTTTTCAACAAGAAGTCAAAAATAACATTTTTTACCAAAAATTTAAAAAATATTCACTAAAATTAGAGAATTAAAGATATCATCATGAAATGAACAAATCTGAGAGAGGTCCACATGTAGTACCTATATATGTAATATCAAAGCAATTGGGCTTGTGGTTTTTAACAAGAAGTTGAAAATATCACTTTTTACCAAAAATATTCACCAAAATTAGAGAATTGAAGATATCATTACAAAATGAACAAATCTGAGAGAGGTCCACATGTAGTACCTATATATGTAATATCAAAGCAATTAGACTTGCGGTTTTCAACAAGAAGTTGAAAATACCACTTTTTACCAAAAATGACAAAAATATTCACCAAAATTAGAGAATTGCAAAATAAACAAATCTGAGAGAGGTCCACATGAGGACGACGACGGACAATCACTCATATGATAAGCTCCGCTCGACAAAGTCGACAACAGAGCTAAAAAAGGAACTCTCTCAACTCAACTGAAATTTGAGCCCAGCCAAGCATCTCTTTTAACAGATGATATACCAATTATAGTTACATATTTATTATATTTATTAGTCACAACACTGTCTCAAACAATATCAGCAGTAAGGTCAATGAAAGGTACAAGACAAAAATAGGGGTAACAAAACAAACAAAAAGGAACAAAAATGTAACTTGCTCTCTCTATATAATGATTTGTTTGATGTTGGTGTCTTGTAGAAAGGTGCATTTAATAAAATTAGCTGTTACACTAATTATTTTCATTCACTGTCAAAATACAATATCTATGACGTTTTCATTGTTATGTTCAGTATTAAATTTTGATTAACCAGGATTATAGACAGTATTCCCATTTGAGGTTAATTCAATGTTTCTTGTCTAGACAACATTTCTCTCATGTTTACAATTGATATATACCACTACTGATCATATATTATTCAGGTCATGTGTTTATTTTGTCTTTACACAGATTACAAACCACAACAGTGGCATTCATATGAAGATTGTAATCCAGTATTGTAAACCTCACCTAACTTATAACCCTACAGTTTTTTGTAACATCAACTACAGTAGGCTTAAGACTCGAACACATGAACAATAATTCACATGTTTACAATCATAAACACAAAATAAAGAGGTGTGATTATACTTTGATAAAAATGCTATATTGAAAGTTTTATCAACCATCTGATTTGCACAGCATTGAACGAGGGTTAATTTACATAAAAACAAGCAGCCTGTCGACTGAGATAGCTCCGCTGTTAGCAATGCACATGGCAATTAAAGAACGGAAGATATCATTAGAAAATGAACAAATCTGAGAGAGGTCAACATGTAGTACCTATATGTATGATATATCAAAGCAATTGGACTTGCGGTTTTCAACAAGAAGTCGAAAATATCACTTTTTACCAAAAATTACAAAAATATTCATCAAAATTAGAGAATTAAAGACATCATCATGAAATGAACAAATCTGAGAGAGGTCCACATGTAGTACCTATATATGTAGTATCAAAGCAATTGGACTTGCGGTGTTCAACAAGAAGTCGAAAATATCACTTTTTACCAAAAATGAC